CGCTTCAGAAAAAGTTGGCAGATAATTAGAACAAAAAATAGCTTAGCCATCGGCAGATCAGAACAGACACCCTGATGGTTGCATATCACCAATACATATCAAACATCTCATTTTACACCAGAATTATAGCGAATAGCCGAACAATCTTATACAACGAAAAATAAAACAAAATTCAATATATACCACTAGTGATACCACTTGGAATAAAATCCATGGAATCTTCCATATTATTTCGATTCCGCTGATGGCGTAGTCTACTAGAATGGATGCTTTGATAAATGGATTGTGTTGATGCCCGTCTTCTAATGCGATCTATGGTACCACCACCATTCGAAACGCATGACACGTATGATAGTGATGATGTGGCATACTCACCCTGCCAAAGATTCAGTTAGTTACATTTTCAGAATGTTATTTATATATATATTTATATGTAAACATAGAAAAAAATAAACCAAAGCATTCATGTCGCAATAGAACAGATAACATGTTTACTGATATTCATTCGACTTAGTGTTAACCTTGCCATGTGTTATTATACATTTTGAATTGTTAAGCCTTGAGCCATCTAACTGCTAACTTGAGTAAATACATAGTATTCTCTTCATCATACTAAAACGGCTGTTTCCATAAATTACTGAACATCAGCTGCCTTACAACAGACTTTCAATTCAATTCAAAAATTTCAACTTCAAACTTCAAACACTTGTTAAAAAGGTTTCAACTACGGAATGGAAGGAAAGGGATCAGTGTGACCAGTTTTGTTTTTATAATTTTGCAAACAAAAAGCATTATTAGGACTGTCGTTATGAAAAATAACATTTCAAACTGCAGAATTATCTAGAGTTCTTTTTCTTTATCCAAACCATCTTAATGGTCCTAATCAACTTTTTCTTTTTAATAAAAAACTAAAAACTTCATTCAAAGATGAGATAAAGAATTAGCATTGAAGAAAAGTAAATTTTTCTTAACATAAAGTTTGCTTCCGGATGAAATTCTTCATATAAAATTTAAAATTTTCCTCAAAAATACTTCCATACATTTCTTATCGCAAAAACAGAAAATATCAGATAATTCTTCAATTTGAAATTCACTCTTCATGACACAGCTTCAAACAGCGCTTCTCGTATTGATATTACGAAAGCGAAAATCACGACAGCGGACATTAGTCCATTATTTGCGTCTTTTTTTCAGCATTGTTCTCGCTGTACTTCAAAGACAATAAATAATTGAAGTGAACGACTATATTTTAATTATGCATTAAGTTACACGATCCCTAATGTTCTTTAAAGGTAAATTTTTCGCAAAGAAAACGCATTATTCGTGGTTATTGTTATGAAGAATAAATTTTACATCGTTCCTTCTCCATTTTCAAGCTAGCCGCATCAAATAAAAAACTTTAAAAGCTTACGCATAACTTTTCGTGATGCCCGCGGAGTCTATATTTCGATACTAAATTTAATCATAGCTCATGCTAAGAAAACCAAGTTTCATGATCGAGATCATATTACCGTCTCAACCTTTCGCCATTTAGTTTAGCTATGGAAGTTTTGAAACTGATGGTACGATAAAGCATAACTTAAGGTTATACTTCTGTGTTTAGCTATATCCTATTTCAAGCCTACTCTGTTTCAAGTAAATTTTCATTCTAATTCAAAACTTTAATTTGAAGGATAGTGAATTATAATCCCACTCCTGTCACTCTATTCTGAGAATTCTCGAAAATGAAATTTGACGAAATTTAACAAGAACCATACCACATTAATTTTGATTACTTCAGCCGTTTTGTGTGTTGAATTTGCTGCAGTTATTATGGTTGATGGTTCACGATTGCACTTGTTATTATAACAGTTGACCAAGCAAATAGACAGTTCTGGAATAAAAAAAAAGAACAAACATTGCTTATCCATACAACCCAAAGTTCGCAGTTAAACAGGAACGTTGATGACAGTACCGGAAAGTCTGAAATGACGAAGACTGGGGACTTTCAGTAAGTGTAATCCGAAACCTTATATTAAGAATGACCGACTACAATTACAATCCGGACAAAATGCGAGGTAGCAGTATCTAAAATCACTAAATTCCACATACAAAAGCTTCTTGACGATGTTGATAAATAGTCTATTCAATCATGTGCAACCTAGCGATTGTTCACAAATGTATTTCGCTCCTTTCTCACCAATCTGAATTTCTCTCACCTGAAAACCTACTAAGGAAAAGAGTTAATATTCACAAGTCCAAGTCAAGACAGACTCAATCACTCCTTCCTTTCTGACCTGTAACTTTTCCAGACATCCGAAGCGGATCGCGATTGCCGGAGCATGCTGAAATTAAGCCATGAGGCCAAAACAAATAATACACAACTACTTATCTCGTATTATTAAATTAATAAAGAGCCGAGAAAAAATGAAATTTAAGGAAAACGAAACGAATTTTCAAAATAATGTAAGGAATATAAATGCATGGATGTGATATTATGCTGGTTAAACGATCGTACAAAATAGTACAGTGCGATTGTTTGCCATTTGGTGACAGCATCATCAAAAGTAAATCATCGAAAGTAAAATTATACGTACATCTACATTTATGCAAGCTTATCAAAAGAATACCTACTGATTTGTCATAGATAAAAAGCAGTTATACAGTTGACAAGAAAAACCTGAGAAAACCGATGCTTCATTTATTTAACTCCAGATCAATGATCGCCCACAGAAACTACAGAAAAATAAGCCAACATATACTGACGGTAACATGACACTGATCTAACGTAATAAATCACAATATGCGAAGCCAGCGTACTAAGTCATAATATGTAAAATTTTCTAACATAAACGTTAAAAAAATTAAAATAGAGGTTTTTTTTCCTTTCAAATGCAGGAGACCATCGAAAGGGCACTAAAGAAAGTGAAAGACCATGAAGAATGCGTTGCCCCTCTGTTCCTCTGTCCTTCTTACTGACAATCAATTGTCGCATGGAGCGATCCAAAGTGCCTACTACTATGATTATTGTTGTTTACCGTGTCTCCCCTAAGAAGCACTGACTGCTAAACAGAACCCCTTTTCCAGTATCGATGAGCTAGATTGTAGACAGTTCGAATCTGTTAATCTTAGCTATCCAACATTCAATACCACTGACTAAAGCTCTTATAGTACCATTATTACTAGTAGAATCCACAAAAACCAAAACCAACGACATCAATCTGTAAGGCAAACTGCAAGGATAACAAATCTAAAATCAACGACAGAAAAGAACTACAACCATTGCAAAAGAACTGCAATAACTGCAAAAGAACTACAAACTACAAAAGTACAGAAGAACTACAAGTACAAAAGAATTACGAACTACACTCTTTTCCTTCGACAGCATTACTTCACAGCAAATGACTTTCGTATACCGTACAATAAACAATTAATTTGGTGAACGAATTTCACGAATCACTAAATCTAAAATAGAAAAACACAAAAAAATTGATTTTGATGAAGTTCAGTAGAATTTAAACTTTGGAACCCACAAAATGAACCTCTAATATCAATACTCATCTAGGCTTGGAATTATCCGAATAATCTTCACAACTTGAAAAATTGCTTGCTTAGTACAGCAAGCTATACCAAACTCTTCGCCACGGACAACCACTAGTCTCGGGGGAGAAGCTTGCGTGCCCATATTAGGTCGCAAGTTATACTAGCGCAAACTGAGCGACGCAGATGCCTCCAGTAGGATCTCTCATATCAGACAGGTCTCAACTGAAGGTCAGATAACATGCGTCCATGGGCCAGATGGGTAGCTAGCTCTCTCGGCAACCATACCAGAAGGTAGGACAACCCTAACTTCAAATTTGGGCAGATGAAGCTCGTTCAGTTCTGTAAGGCCATCCATTTATGGGAAGGTTATTCTAACAAAACCTACATCCTGAGCACTTCACTGTCACCGTTCTAGCTCGCTAAGCCCTGGCAGGTGGACCTGAGCAGTAAAGGGTGGGACCAGTTCCGCACAAGCTGTTCCTCACCTAGAAATTAACTGGAAAAGCTGGAAAGATACCCCACGTTTGCAAAAAGCGCAGGTAGAACTCTTCCCAAATTTTCATTGGCGAAGCCTAGCCATGATAAAATTGAAGAAATATGGCTGGCTAACCTGTGTCAAAATGAAAAATCTGAAACTTCCCCCTGAAACAGCTGTTCCACCCATTCTGTCGGTTAGTTTTGGCAAGGGAAAAAGAGAAGTAACGCGACAGGATAAATCCAGAATACTCTTTTAAATTATTTTTCAAAACCTCTGGCATAATTAAAACAAAAAAGAAAAAAGAAATATAACGCAACAGCTGAAACATAGGATCTTCCCCCAACTAAACAATGTAAAACAGTTCCTAAACTACTCTGACGTATTTCAAATTGTCATATTCATCATGTTGTGGTTACAATATGCACCCCTCCTTTCATCATTCCTCTCGTCAATTTCGCACAAACAAACTGAGAATCGCAGAAGTATGATTTATAAAATATTGAGGATAGAAACCATAAAGCGTAAGACAAAAATGTGTACATTTCTGGCAGCAATCCGGCTGGGTGGAAATGTTCATTTAAAACATCGGATACATAACTGTTACTGCTAAAACAGTAAGAACGCAACTTTTTCATTTAATAAAAACTTCCCCTACCATCTAAACTTATCATACAAATAAGGATACGTCTCGTAAGATCCATTGAAGAAGTGGGAACCATAGAAAAAAAACCTATTCAGCACGTAGCGTACTATTTCTACTCATACTATTGTTGCCGACGAAATTTATCAAATGGTCTCATCAAAAATAATCGATCTATTAACATGGACTGTTGATTGTACGATAAAACATCAAGCATGGTCACGCCCCAGCCGTATAAAAGAGATTACAGTACCTAACTTTCGAAATGCTTCATTCCCCTCTGTTCAAGATATCGATGATTAGGACCGATTTGAAATATGATTGGTATCGTAACATCAATGAAGTGCAACTGAAAACAAGCATAAGCACAAATTTACGCTGCTATCCATTTCAATGTTATGGTAACCACCAGAATCCACACATTCTTTAGTTTTGCAGTTTTAATCTACATTATCTTTTATTTGTCTATTGCCGCTGCTGCATTTTCATTCATTTTTTGTGATGCAAGCTGAGCTTTCTTCGCGCGAGGAAATGTTTGATGCATGACAGCATTACGGATTTGTGCACAATTTGTACTAGTACGGCAATATGTGGGTTATCCAGCGAAACATGACTGTCCGGTGCCAACTGTTTCAGGGCTAGCAGTACCATATCCATAACATCACCCTTTCCCAAGCTATCATTATTTCGCGCCTTAAAATCGAACAAGTATGTTGGCCATTTACCGTCTTCAGTCGGATGAAAATGCCTCGAGACCAGTCGACTCACTTCCTGAAATCACCATAGTCCACCCGATGATAGAGAAGAAAGAATGTACTTTTGTGCATTAAAAAATAAAAATGTATTTCGACCAATTGGGGTCATGACATTTGTTGCACATCATCTGTCTTTGGCTTCCCAGACGCGACAATTTTTCAAATAACCTTTGTTTGAAATTGTTTTCAATCGTGTTAGACAAAAATTGTGATGACTGCAATAGGCGGAGAAAAAAACTACTTAAATTTCGCAATCATAAACAATCCAACAATCGCAATCATAAAATGTTTTGTATACGTGACTAAAGGGATCTTTTTTATTCAAATTAAAAAATATAAAGCCCACCACGAAAAGAATACCTCTACTCCTATTCATCACATCCTCTAATATTTCAAATTCCAAAAGAATAGAAAGGAAGAGCAGTAGAGACCGGAGAGAAGGAGAGGATAGACAAATGGTATATCACTGAGGAAAGAGAATACGAGGAATCATATGTCCTGAAAGCATTATGGTTTAAGGAAACCCTGATCTTTCTTGTACAAATGACTCCTGCAGTTGTTATGCTGCGTTTAACACAATCTATTAATATGAAACTGAAGATTTCTGAGAGGAACATTAGCTACTAAAATCAATTAGATTACCATATCTAATTCGACCATATCCACTCGGCAAGTTCTTTCCACCGGCCATACCCGTTGCAGCAGACGACAGCACCGCTCTTTCAGCACCATTTCAACAAGATAATCCACAAAATCATATACGTTCTTGTCATTTACACCTTTCACAGTAAAAAATAAGCAATTGTTCGTACCAGTTGGTCGCTGCCATATTTTCCGCTTTTTCACATTTCTGCTGTCGCTTCGTGCTACAGAAGATCTTTGTTCTGTTAGTGAGCAATTTTGAGTTGTTCATCAAAGGCATTTATCACTTGATTAATGTAGAGTATTAATGGGCGACATGTGCTTTTTCAGTTAATTGACCAATTCAGGTCACTTATCTCATTAGCCATGTAGACCTGTGTATTTGTTCCTCAGATGTTGTTTTGTCTGATAAGTCCAATTAAAGTATGCAAAAAAAGAACGACGATCCTTTTCAAATGTTTTTTTCAATAAATACACAATTTTTCATAATTTTAATTTGCAATCATTTGGCTCTTTCTTTATCTAACAAACAATTTTAATGCCCAAAAGTTTGTTTGCTTAAATTTCGAATAGGCTATCCTCTTTGGCTGTTGATTTTGTATAGACCTAATCCTTACTTCCTTACGAAGTTATCGGATAGTATTTAAATCGGCTGAATGCAAATTTCAAAAATACTTCATAAATGGCTAAGTTCAAATTAGTTATTCGAAGACGAAATGTATCTATTGCCATCAGGTAACAAACCTGCGTGAAATTCAACAAGCATACTTACAGGTAGGGAAAATATTAAGCTCAAATGGCGCATAATCAGCACGACCAAATGGCTGTAAAATTAAAAACAAGCTAAAGCTATATGATAGAAAAGTTTTTTTCAAAACTCTTTTAATTTTTAAAAAAATCCTTTCGAAGTGCATCTTTTTCCCATCCTATACTTCAAGATCTTTCAATACCTGACCACGCCTTTTAGACAAAATTGATATATAGATTTAAGAAGAAAAAAGAACTGCGTGGGACGATAAAACTTTACAGTCTGGTAATAAGAGAACTAAAGATAATAAGAACTAAAACCTTGATCACAAAATCGTTTCACCGAATCTGCGACATCTTCCTGATCACTGCCGAAATTAGTCCCTTTTTCAGCAAGTTCATCATCGGAATCTTCTTCTGAATGACCATCCTTCTTCCATATTTCCAGAGCTTGTTCGATGACATTATACGCTTCACGTACTGCTTGCTTTTCATTCCCATTACACGTAAAAAATAATCCACAACATCCTGATTCCACCCATCTTTGTTTTACATTTTGATTATAACGAAAACGATCGCGTCGTTTCTTATTTTTTTCCATAGAATACCTCATTACTAAAATAATTACGTAAACTGTGGAGTATAAAATGGAAACACGCGAAATTTAAGAATACACACAGAGGATGAAGGAATACTGGACCTACATCCCCTTCCATCCATATCGACGCTTACGGACTAGACCTGCTCCCGTGAATCTCACAGTACATATCTAAAAAACTTCCTTGATCCATCTGAGGAACCACAAAATCCTCCTGCACCGCATGTCACAACCAAACAGAACCACTAATAGTAATCCATGAGCCATCTAAGTTTGGCAACGTACGCCCGAATTATACGCTTACCGCGAATTCAAATATCAACCTAAAGTGAAACTTCAGTGCTCAAAGGTTCAGTGCTTCATGTTCAGTGCTTAAAAACTTCAGTGCTTTATAACTCCTTTCTGACAAAACAGTATTAACAGTAATTTATATTACAATTATCTTGATTTAAGCAGATAAGAGTATCCAGACTACCTAAAATACTAAATAAACTAAGCTTTCAAAGTAAAATTCTATATTATTCGTTGAAATTTGTAAATTTTATTTGTTAATAAGAATTTTTGTAACAGAAAGACAGTTTCTGTTATGGAAAGACATAATTATTGCAAACAATGAAAAACCTGCGAGGCTTCTAAGTGCTTCTCTTTCCAAAATTTAAGATTCGAATCAAGCATTTCTTTACCTGCGCAAAAAGTCTTTTTTAAAGAAAATAGCAAGGAAAAAGCATTTCTTTACCTGCGCAAAAAGTCTTTTTTAAAGAAAATAACAAGGAAATGCTAATCCACATATCGGGATCACCTTACGACCATAACGATGGGATATTTTTGGTCGTTTGCAACATTGATAAGTTTGTATTCATTGAAATTTAAATTTGTAATTTCGTAAAAAAAATCATAAAATGCATAGTGATTCAGAAAAAAAGCAAATAATAATCACGAATCAAAATGGGGAATTAATCACTTCTCCATGATGAGAAGAAAGTGATAATTAAGACTTAAAACTTTGTCAGTTGTTGAAATTAAACATGACGTAAATTAGGCATTGATTAAAACACTTTTACGTCCAAAATCTGCTAATTCAATTTAGAGCTCCGAAGTTGAAATTCAGTTTTAAAAGAAATGCAATTTCAAACTTTAAGAGTTTATAAGAAACCAGTTTGTATAAAATTATCAAGAAAATGTTTGCTTTATTGAAAATGCTATAGCAAAAAAACTGAAAATATTTTGTTCCAAAACTGAAAAAAAATAAAGGAATTCGAAACCCGAGAACTGATAAATAAAAATTCAAAAAGACGATTGTGCGATGCAATTTGGACATTTTCTGTTATTCTAAATATGACTTGAGATAGTAATAATTGCGTACTTCCACATCGCTGTTAATTACTTTCTCGATGAATATTCATTTCCGTGATCACTCAAAATATATTTCAGAAAGAGATGTTCATTCTGAATTGGATATAAGTTGATATTATTTTTGGATGTAAATGACTGTAGAAACTACAATATTTTCGTACTAGTTACTTAAAAAAGCAAAATAAAATTGGTCCCTTGTTTATATTTAACCATATATGCAGTTAATTCATTCGTCCTTCTTTCCCGAAGGTTTAATAAAATTTATGTTTAATAAAATTTATCGGTTACAGATACCGTGCACGTAAGAGGCAAAAGAGTGGAAAAAAAAATGAAATGTAGTTCTGGAAATGAAGAAACTGTCATTTTTTTTGTCAAAAACAAGAACTATGAGACAATTTGAAATAAATTCAGTTTACTCCATAACATATTAGTGATTGTATCCTAACAAGCTTGCAGAAATACATTTATGAGTTACATATCGGAAAATGCGAAGTTCTTTTCACAGTACACTGTGTCGAAATGTTTTCGGAAGACTGTGAAATGCTAATAAATTTACCAAATACCAAACTTCTAATCAAATCTGACATTTTTCAATGTATGCAAGTTGGGGAAAAAAGTCTTCCGAAGTGCAAGTTAGGAAGACTTTCTTTTTAAACCAACTGCGTTTATTTATTTCAGTACTACAGTTCGGAATTTGAAAAAATTTGGTAATTTTAGGAAACGATTTTTTGTTTTGGAAAATTTGTCGCTTAACAATGATAACTGATTTGATGAGAAGAGTTCACATTTGAGAGAAATAATTTTTTTTTTCTTTTGATGACAATCTTATTTCTCTAAAAGACTTTTTTTTTTTAAATATACAAAATGGCATTTTGTACAATACAACAGATTAATCTGCAATTGATGCATCGTGAAGAAGTTTGATTAACAATTTTTGAAAACGATGAATGAGAAAAAGGCCGAGTAAAATGACCGAATAATTGTGACTCATTATAGTTACAAATTTCTTTAACTGTTAGGTTAAATCATCAGATTATCCAATTGCTTGTTTCAACAGCAGTGTGACGAGAATGAATCATTAGGATCAACAAATTATCGAGTTATTCAATAGTGCGATGTTGATTGAATCATATGTCACACATAGATCTGTGTAATAACTTCTTTTTTTTTTTTTGAAGAAAAAGACTGGAAACTCAAGTAAATATGGAAAATATACAAATTTTTACTTACGAAACTCAAAATTAGAGTGAAAATTATAGAACACAAAACATAAAATTATTGAAAATTAAATCATTTTAAAGTATTTCCGTTACCTTTCTACTTTTATAGATCATCCAAAACTTATAGATATGAAGAAAGATAATCTGCAATGACATTTCCTATTGTCAGTGTTATTCAAAGCGCTGCAAATCTAGTAGTGTCAAGAGAAGTGAAATGTGGTAAGACGTGTTTCACCATTCACTTTTGATGGTGATACTGAAACGGATTTTAAGAAGAAGTATGGAGTGCAGGTAATGCAAGGAAAGTCGATATGAGCAATGGACGGAAAAATAAATAAACGTACTATAATTACTTTCGTAACGAAAAGAGAATGCTGTACAAACTAGTTTCGAGGCACTATATTATGAACCGAATAGTGAAATTAAATTAATATCCAAATCAAATCCTAGCACAATGACGTGAAATAGTGAAGATACATTAATTAATTAAACATGTTTATATTTATAGAAGCAATAGGTACTTTGAAACCTCACATTAAAAGTATGAGTCGAGATGACTTTCCCTGATAAACAATTCATGTAAAGGTAATAATGTTTGGGTAATATTTGGCTGTAGTCTCCAAATAAAAGCACGCTACACCAAATTTTCAAACTTTTGGCCATCTGGATGGTATAAGTTATTTTTAGATTTGGATTTAATAATTAGTTCCCCAAAATCATGTTCACATAAAGATAATGTCAAACAGAACATTAAATATATTTAAGTTAAGTTTCAAATAAGCCAAATAGATATCAAATTATTCGAGAGGCAATGGACAATAATGAATGTGCACCAGTCTCTGCTACTGAAGGCAATATTAGTACTAAAATCATTGGCAACAGTGGCGGCAAGTTCGGTCGATTTCTTCAGATTCTTCGTTTAGCATAGCTTCTTCAAAAGTTGACGAATTCTTGGAACACAGTGTAAGAAGTTGCAAAGAGGAATATTAATACTTTCTAGAAATTACTGTTGAGTTTTCTAAGCCTAAGCAAAGATGGACATTTTATCAAATTCAGAGAAAAAGATGAATGCACTGATTTAGATGTATTTTGGATCATCTATATCAGCTTGATTAGTTTAGCGGAAATGTAGTGAATGAAAGTTACAGAATGATACTAATCATAACCAGCAACGATGGTGACAATAGAAGATGAAGACTTTTTTGACGATATGATTTAATCACGCAAAATGACCGGAGTGATGTTGAATGAGAATTGCTGAAAAACTGTGAGGGAAGAGAAGTGAACGATAGAACAGTTGGTTGTTCCATCCTCTTGGGTGACGAAGGTCATCGTCTCGACCAGGTCCTCCTCAGCCCATTTCTATGATGCATTTCACTGACAATACTAAAACTTGAGAAATTCCAGAAAAGCAACGAATGGATTGTCACTAACTTGACGAAACTCACGTCCTCTCCATCTTTTGGCGCATTTTAGAGGAACTTTTTTAGGAATTAACATAAGTCTAGACTTTACAAATTTCTTTTGATGTGAGCAAAGAGTTTATTTGAAGCATTTCCTCTCTTTTTCCAACCATTCTGATGTGTTTTAATCACAGGAACTTTCTTGCTTGCTCAGGTAATTTGATCGAATCATCCTTTGGTGCCGAAATCCATTATATATTTCACTTGATCTTTCTGCTTGCACATTACTATCCAGCCATTTTTTCCTCTATACTCTTCTTAATAGTATTTAATTTTTTCTTTTCAGAAGATAAGGCTATCTTATCACACTCAAGATTGAATGGAATGATAGTTTATTAAACTGCTCTTGAATTTAAGATTTTAAAATCAAAATCAAATATAATAAATCGTGAACAGATGAAAACTTGTATTTAATTGCAAATTAAAAACAAAAGCTAAAACCATCATTGTATCGACCTTATCCTAGCTTAATTTGGGTAAACGATATATCCACAGACAAATTGGTTATTTCCACTATCAGCATGAAAGGCATAAAGTGATGACACCAAAACCACAACTAAATTTTATTTTGTTTTGCTTCTCTTCTTTTATCAGCGACAAAACTTTCTCCCGGCACTTCCTTTCGATTTCATTTTGCTCAGTGGTAAAACGTTATCATCCCTTCGTCATCATCCTCACTAATACCATGGCGAAATATTGGCAATTATTAGTCGGGTTTCAAATCTTAAGTGCAGTAATTAGTAGGGTTTTAAACCTTAAGCGGGATCAAGAAGTCATTATGGAAATGCCGTCAGTGCTATCACTATGATTGTCATCAACACCGCCACAGAGTTATCATTATCAATACCATACCGTTATCAATATCTTACCAACATTACTATAATCATTACTATAATCATTAAGTGTAACATATATATTTTCGAAGAGAAATAAAAGCGTGCACAAATTTACAATATGAAGAAAAACTTGACAAGGATTACGATTAAAGCATTGCATTGTAATGAAACAGAGGTGCGAATAATCAACATACTTCAAATATCGGTCGTTACTCGATTTTGTTATGCTCCCTCTGTTTTTTTCTTTATAACTTTGAACTATGTGTCACATTCAGCTTACGTATTTATGCTAATACTGTATTTCAACCAGAACTCCTCCTAATTTTAGTTAATGCGTGGTACTTGGGTGTCAAAAGTCAACTGTGCATGCAATTATCATGTCCAGAGTAATAAATTATGGATTACGGGTATATTTCGGAGATAATAACTATTGAACTGTCCATTAAATTTATCGTCCTTAAACTAGTTTTAATCACACTTAGACTTCTTGACCTTATTAAATCATTTACATTGATAAAGCGGCCAAAAATTAGAAATATGGGAAATGATCACCATTATGCCACCAATTCCAGACTCAAAATGGAACTTTGAGAACTTTTCCAATTGAAGCAAGCACCTGTAAGTTCTTAAAAGTTAATTTTTAAATTGCGAAAGACGCAGAGCTTCAAGACGTATACATGATAAACGACAAAAATAAAGACGGAAAAAATATCTTACTGAACATTCGGAAATTCCAAAAGTTTTAATGCTTTATGTGACAAGTATAATTAATAAAATGACAAAACAATTTTAGTAGAGAAAATAGAAGAATGCTATGTTTTTTGTGAAAACAAAAAAAAAAAATGAAATTATCGAAAAGTTAATAAAATTAATGGGCCTATTGTGATATGCCCTGAACCTAGAATACAGTGGCATGGAAAATCAACGATACATGCCTTCTATACTTAATAATAGTGGAAGCTTTAATCATCATGAGCTCCCAGTAATTTGTCACCTAGGAATTTGACAACATGCAAATCATTTTGATAGATATGATTGATAACAAAAATGAATAAGGAACATCCAACGGCTACGTGCGCAGCATTATGCATTACACCATCAATCCCACCGAAAATCTAAAATCAAACTTATTATAGTCGAGCTAAAAATTTTAGTAATTTAGTAAAATCTGATTATTGGCTTAAATTCAGAAAATGACAAGTTTTTAACGAAGTGATGAAAACCGTGGGAATGTGTCACGAAATCTGAAGTGAATATCATCATTAGACTTCACCTGTCAAAGGAATTGGGACTGGGAAATAGAAGTACAAAACCCAGGGCATTCCTTTAGTTTAAAGAAATAAAATTCTCAAATAGAAACTAATTCTTTCTGACATTTCGCAATTTTTATTAAGTTCAAGAAACTGACCAGAAGGGAAAGTGAAGTTACAACAAGACAAAAGAGGAGAATTAAAATTGTTGAAAAATTTGGAAGTGTATGCAAAAAACTGATTTGACCGCATGAAAAACGACGAATATGCCTCCAGCTGAAGAATGATTAGTTTAATTCTATTACACCATTAAGTCAAAACGAATTTTTTATTGCTAAAATTTATTCAGATCTATCTTGAAAAGTCAATAAAATCGCAACAAAATAAGTACTTACCTGTAGACTATTCGCATTAGCATACTGATAATATTTGCTAGTATCAAACCGTATGCACCGACAGTGTATGAAAGCAGAAACGATAGAAATATCTGGATGGGGGAGGAAAAAAACAAAAACCAGCCATGCGAAAGAAGCTGAAATTTCGTAACATGTAGAAGTTCCATTAAGAAGATAGAATTTGTGTCCAAGTTGGATAATTGAAAAAATTATGAAAGAAAAATGCCTAATTCAAGTGCTAATTATCGACTGAAGAAATACGTGAAGTATATCCCATAAGATTTTAGACAAAAGCAAGAATCCGAATTATCGCAGCGAAATCGACAGCTAAACCAATAGGCGGACTGACAACTTTCAGACAGGGAAATGCCCGACTGTTCATGATACACGTTTATGCCCTTTCTAACAGAAACAATTACTAACAGATGTATTACAATCCACTCAATATTCTTGAGTATTGACAGCAAGGGCATTCAACGGAAGAAATACCAGTAATGAAGCGCGAAAATGTATGATTTAAATTAGTTTTTTACATTAATTCTAGAAATATGAAACCTCCTCTTCGTTCATTGTTGCCATGGCAAAGCACTCGGTGATACCATTGACTGCAATGACAATTATATAAAAGGAGTAAAGTCGCAGAATATTTGCGCCTGAAAGAAAAAAATATATATATAAAATATTGCATAGAGAATAAAAAATCGTTGATATTGGCCAAAATTAAGGTAAGGTGAAAAAACACCCAGCATAAAACAAAGAATTATGTGCAAAAAAATTAAAGAAGCAGAAGGTGAATTAAAGCGAAATCAAGTAAAACAGAAGCAGTAAAAAAAATGAGAAATGAGTGTTTTAACATGACTCGGAATTTTTCGATTTTCACGCCAATTTCTTTTTTCTCAAAATTTGAAGTCTGGTCCT